GACGAAGCGTTCAGGGTTAATGGTGTGAAAGTGCCAGCTGGACGGCAGGGAGGTGCAGAGAAGTCGTCAGTAAAGGTCACTGCTCTTCATTGCTCCTGACTGCTCCTCACTGCTCCTCCTCACTGCTCTTCACTGCTCTTCATTGCTCCTGACTGCTCCTCACTGCTCCTCCTCACTGCTGCATCACTGGACATCCGGCTGCTGCAAATTATTTTAAATCCACGATTCTTTACCACTTGATCATTGATTTTTCAGGATCAGGTCTGTGATCTGAAGAAAGCAGCTGAATGTTCTTATTCCTCTTGAAGTTGAGAGGATTTTCCATCTCCCACTAATTCCTCTTTCACTTTGACTTCTAGTCACACCTGTGCTGTGGCTCCAGCAACCTTTAGACATTTATGTTCACTTTAGAATAAATTGGAATAATAAATTGGGGCAGCAGTAGCTCAGTCCATAAGGATTTGGCTTGGGAACCGGAGGGTGGCCGGTTCAAGTCCAGCATGGACCATAATCATGGAAGGTGGACTGGTAGCTGGAGAGGTGTCAGTTCACCTCCTGGGCACTGCTGAGGTGCCCTTGAGCAAGGCACCATACCCCCCAATCGCTCATAGGGCGCTTTTCCTGGGGCTGCCCATCACTCTACCATCTCTCTCCATAATGTGCATGTCTTGAGCCCTGTGTGTGTGTGTGGGATTGTGGGTTAATGCATGTATAAAATGAAAAACATGAGTGTAAAAAGAATTTCCCCTTGTGGGATCAATAAAGGAAGTTTACTTACTTTACTTTAAAATCTTTATCTCTCACACTCATTAGGTTACATTTTGGAGGATTATGACCACATATCTGCAAAACTAATGATTCTCTGACCACTTAGCTTTAGCTTCACTTTGTGTTAGTTATTTACCAAATGCTACCATTTTGATGTGCTAATCTCAGATGGTGCTAAAGTACGAGCACATAACTGTCACACCAGAGACTACGTTTCACACCCAGTCACTTAGTTTGTGGTTTCCACGATTGAAGCAGCAGGTTTGGAAATATTGTGGAGGTTGTTCTGTAAGATCAGATCAGCTCATTTGGCAGAAATAAAACATTTTACTGAAACATTCAGCATCAGTATATTTGGGACTCATCAAATACATTAAATTATGATATTTGCTGTCATAGTTTAGTTGTATGGGAAGGAGACAGGTTTTAGAACATAAAACATTCTAAACATGAAGATGTGAGCTGTCTCCTGCTGAGATGAGCATTTAGCTGAAAGTCATAATGAACATAATTTACTTAAATTTCATTTAGTTCGAAGAAAATACCACATTCCTCCACATTTTCAAATTTGTAGGGAAATAAAACCCACAACCCTTCCTGACATTGGATGAGAGGTGGGAAACATCCTGGACAGTTTGCCAGTGTATTGCCGTGCCGACATAAAGAGACCAGCAACCATTCACACTCGCATTTTGCAGTACATTTTTTATTTAATTTTATCATAAGTCCAGTTTGCATATCTGTGGACCCACACAGGCACGAGGAGAACATGCAAACTCCACACAGAAAGGATTTAAACCCAGAACCTTCTTGCTGTGAGGCAGTGGTGCTAATCATTGCATCACTGTGCTGCCTCATCATACGTTATCTTGTACAAACACGTTCAGCAGTGGACCAGTGGATCGGTTCTGTTTGTCTGTGACTGTTTAGTGTGAACAAGCTGGATTGTCAGATGGGAGATTCTTCTAATCCTGAGTTTAGATTTTTCAATTCTCTGTGTGTTTGTGTTGTAGTGTTTTCAAACTGTTGCTGGACCAGATTCATTTGGATGATGTCCTGTATGTGTGTGTGGCTGTATTGTTTTATGTGTGTGTGTGTAGCCTGGCAGTGGAGTCGACCGCTGTGGCCTTTTGAGAGTTGCTTCCTTTAAGGCCACAGCTTTGTATGGGGTGAGAGGAAGAAGCTGAGCGCTGCCTGCTGACTGAGCGGCTGATCTCTGGACCTGTGCCTCTTCTGCAGAACTGACAAACAAACACTGAGTCATGGTGCATTTAGACTCTGAAGTAATATTGTGAGAAAAGAAGTCGCCCCTTCTGCTTTACGGACGTTATGGATATCTTAGAGGCACAGACTCATATAGTGAAGAACTGAGTTTGAAGATGTTTTTAAAGTCGCCCACACATACAGCAGCTTGTGTTTCCAGTCATTAGTCCTGACTCATGGTTCCTCCTCACCGTCTCTTTGCACCTGCTGCCGTACATCCGACCCTCTCTCTCTGTTTGATCAGCTGGAAATGACCAGAGAGGTGAAGCCGAGCTGCAACTTTGATAATGTAGATCTCACATATCAACCGTGCGTGTTTGGTAACTTTGACTGTGTCGTTGTGCGAGTTTCAAGCGTTTTAAGCTCTTTATCCAGATGTTTGTGTTTAATGAACTCAGGAAATCCTCAGAGAACATTGATATTTCATGAGTTTGACCATAACTGTGTTCACAAATCAAGAGGAAGGACATACATAGTATTTGATTATTCCAAATCTGTTCTGGTACCTTAACATTTAACTCAGAAGTCCATTCATCCCTCTGATAACCAGTGTTTTCCTTTGTTTTGGCTTCAGTCTCATTCATCTCACTGTGTGTGTTTGAACAAAATAACTTAGAAACCCACTGATGGATTCCCACCAAGCTTGGTAGGAACATCACTGGGATCAAGGTCAACAATATGGTCTGAAAAAACACAAGATATCTCTGCAAATCATAGGACCAGAGAGACAAGAGCTTGTATTGATCAGTAAATGAATTCCCCATCATAATATATCAACGTGACGTCATGGAGAAGTCACAAGGAAGTCAGAAAATGACATATGCACAATTATCTGGGGTATCTCTGCCTCCTATAGGGTTATATATACACAACCTAAGTCTTACATATTCATCACAAAGCGAGAATGACATGACATCACACACTGTAGTAACGCATCAACTTCTGTGACCAGTAAGTGTAAATGGACATCCTGATGACGTCATCGTAAAATGGCGTCATTACAATTTAATCGATTGCATCACTTCTCTAGGTTCTATACGTCGGCCCCTCCCCCTGTGACGCTGTTCATTGAGCATAATTATCTCATTAGACTTGCAGATTATATTTAGTGCATCTCTGTGTGTGTGTGTGTGTGTGTGTGTGTGTGTGTGTGTGTGTGTAGAAAGAGACAGCTGGCCACAGAGAAGTGCTGGAGGTGGGGGTGTTGTCTGGGGTCTATTGTAATACTGTTTCATTGCATCTGTTCCTTTCTGTTACTCAGATTGATCCTCCCATCCCCCTCCACATACAACAACTCACTCCTTCATTACCTCAGCTCTTCTTCTATCATCGGCCTCACCATGGCAGAGAAGTACTCGATAGTTTCTTCCCCAAATCATGAACTTTTTTTAATCCGAGTTGAGTCCTCTGTCTCCCTCCTGTGGAGTGACCTGGGACGTTTGCATCCTGTACGTGGCATCACCACGGGTGTGCCTAGTTGAGGAGGAGGAAAGAGGGAAAAAAAATCAGCTCCAGCTTCTTTTATTTCAAAGAGCATTTCAGCTCTGCTGCCCACATCATGTATGAGGTGGACACACCCACGTACACACACACACACACACACACACACACACACACACACACACACACAAACCACCATCACATCTGGAAGTAATCAAGTTCAACCTCTGCCATGACATATACCTCATTCACCTCCACACACACACACACACACACACACACACACACACACACACGCACACACACATACACAGACACACACACTCACACATACACATACACACACACACACCCACACACACACTTGGAGTAAGCAGAGTAGACAACATGGTGGCTGATTTCCTTTGCATCCTTTTCATAATAGTGTTGAGCGTGATATCCGCTATAAGAATTTAAATGACCAAACAAAACAGGCTGATTTACTGATTGATTCACATTCTGTAAAATACAGTGAGTTCATTTCTTTTCATAAAGGTAATTCCTGACGTGATCTAAATAATTCAATTTGTTCAAATGTAGAACGAGCGTATCTTGGTCATCTGGAGGAAAAATATTGGAAAAGAAATGAACTGGACATTTAAACGTCTTTGAGGTGCTCACAGTGAACAATTCAAATAATAAATTATATTTCACAGAGCCTCTCTAAACACCCATGAAACCTAACAATACATTATAAATCAAGATACGAATCATTTAAGTAAAATCAAAAGTTAGAATCTAATTATGAGAAACAAACAAACACTTTTAAATGTATGTGACATGAGAATATGAAGCTCGGGTGAATGAATGGACGTATTAATTCACTTGATAATCAGATTATCTCACTGCTCAGGCCTGTTCTTGCAGCTTTTGTATCTTTATCTGCTCCAACTTTGTCACAGTCAAGTTCAAACAAGCTCTTCTATTGTTTCATATCTTTTAAAAGTAATTTCAACACTCTGTCTGCTCCTCCTCGTTACCGTGGTCACTTTACTCAGCGCAGACTTTTATTTTTCAACTGTCGCAGCTGGGGGAGGGAGCACAGGCCGAATGAATGAGTTTCTTTTAGACTTTCGTTGCTTCCATCCCTGCCTCGTTTCCTCCCTCAAATTGCCACCTCTCTCTCTTACTCCCTCTCTCTGCGCTTCCCTCCCTCTCAGACAGAATTCCTCTGTACCTGTCTGAACAGGGAGAGTCGGAGCGCCATAGGCCGAAGGAAAGACAGAAAACAGAGAAAGGAGGAGGGCAGGCAGGGGAAAAGAAAAGAAAGGGAATCTAGAGACAGAGAGTAAGAGGAACAAAAGGTGCTAATTTTAAAGAGCACAGACAGAAAAGAGGTGCATCAGAGACATTTGAGGAACAGAGAGAAAGTGAGAGACGAGTTAATGAGCTTGTAGAGTCTTTGCTGCATCCTGTTTCCTGCTGGGTTTATTTTTCAACTTTCTGAGACCCGTGGCTATTTTGGTCCGTCAGTGTCGGAGCGGTTTAGGATGGATGCCATCATGCTGCAGGAAAAACTGGTGGAACGGCTGCTATGCCCACGAGTGAGAACGGCCAGACAGAAGGTAAAGGTTTGGATTCATCGGAGGAGATGTGTGCAGGATAAACCAAAAAAAGATCTTTCAGAATAACTGAAATATAAAGTCATAGAGTTCAGGATAAGTTCGGAAATGCAGAAACAAGACGCCCTCACACCTGTAAACTCACTGTCAGCATCTTTCTAGTGATATTTTGGTTTCTCTGTGGACTCTGAGTTTAGTTTACTCTTGTGATATTTCTACAGGGTGACAGATTCACTGCTGGAATGATTGAATGCTTTATTTTCATGATAACTCACTGATTTATATACAGCTTTCCTCATTCTCACTCATCTGGCTCTTTGAGCAAGTGTGTATGATTGCACCATCTGAGTGTCTGTGTGTGTGTGTGTGTGTGTGTGTGTGTGTGTGTGTGTGTGTGTGTGTGTGTTTATAAAAGCAAACCTCACCCGAGGGAGCTGTCGGAAATGCCTGTGACAAGTTATGACAGCGTATGAGGATGCTGACTGCGTGTTGGACTCATGTGTTTGCACAGTTTAAAAAAGAGCTTTTCATATCTGTTGAATGTAGCTTCTGTGTGTGTGTGTGTGTGTGTGTGTTTGTGTGTGTGTGTGTGCGTGCGTGCGTGCGTGCATGCACTCTGTGGGGCCTCCAGTGTGTGTTTCTATCTACACATGTCAGCACTGCAGGGTAAAGATGACGTTCTGCCAGATGCAGCAGCGAGACCCTGCAGGACTGAGAGCTACTGTCCGACACAGTGAGAGCCTGGCATTCTGTGGTTCCCTTTGTGAGAGACTTAGTGGAAAATCTGAGACGCTGGTTATTCCCAGCTGCTTCAAGAGGAATGCTGCTGCTGCTGCTGCTACTGCTGCTGCTGTGCACGTGTTTTTCCACGCAGTTGTAGATTTTCTGTATTATAGAGCCAGCCTGTCTGTTGTGGTCATTTTAAAAGCATCAGTCAGAGCCAGATCCATGTTGTCTCCACATTAAAATGGTTATTTGGTGTCTGAGTCTATTTTTAAGCTGCTGACTTCTGATGTTTTACTGTAGAGCTGAAACAATTAGTTGATTCTCCACTTAGTCAAATTACTTAATAACCTTTTATAACTTGTAATCCTTCTTTTAAGCAAGACGACCAAATAATCTCATGTTGATGTTACTCAAACGGGAGCATGTTGTGCAGTGGTGGAAGAAGAAGTGTAGAAATACTCTGTTACAAGAAATCCTGCTTTCAAACTATTGCAAAACATATTAGCTTTTATTTACCGTACGAAAAGTAAAAGTACACATCATGTAGAATGGACAATTTTGGAATTATAACAATTGCTTCAATACTCTGGTGTGGTTGATTTAATGTAATTATATGTAGCTATGTTATCTTAACCCATAATAATGAATCATACTGACTTATTGATTAAATTCATTTGAATTTACTAATTAAAGTTATCAAATAAATGTAAAAAATAAGTGTAGTAAAATAGCAGAAAATCTGAATAAGAAGTACCTTAAAATTGAACTTAAATAAGTTACTTTCTGTAAATGTACTTAGTTCTCAGTCTTTTGTGAAAGTTAACTAATTATTATTGGTTTTGAACTGGTCGTGAAAGAAAAAGAGCAATTTAGAGACAATAATTTAAAGCCTAAAGTGACGTCCTTGTATGTTTTGTTTTTATCAAAACAGTTTGCAGTTATTTTCCTGTGTGATCGATTGTTTCAGCTCAACAACAGCTGTCAAGTGAACTGATTAAAGCATCACTGACTCTTTCACAAAGAATTTACTGAAACTAAAAAACCTTCTCCTTCCTCTTCTGTGTCTTTTGTTTCTGTCTCAGGAGAAACAGTATGTGGGTTTTGCAACTTTGCCCAATCAAGTCCACAGGAAGTCTGTGAAGAAAGGCTTCGACTTCACACTGATGGTGGCAGGTCAGTTTGGAGCTGAACAAGCGACCGTGACAGAAAAGTAGTATTTCACCTGCAAACACGGTGGACAAGATATTAGAAACAGTATAATTCAACTCCACCGCAGCCTCTGAAAAGACCGTGAGGTTGAATCAACTCGTCTCTAAGTAGAATGACTCTCAGTACAGCACATACCTCCATCAGTCCCCTTAAATTCAGTCAAGCTGCACTAACTTACATACACTCATAGATATCAGTCTTCTAAATATACCAGACGTTTTCATTAAGATCCATTAATTATTCTCTATGAGATCAGTGAAAATGTCAAATGTCAAAAAACCCCTTTCACATCAGTGATTAAAAAAACAAAACAACGCACCTAAATTGAATTGGTTCTGTTCTAACTCATACCAAGTTTGTTGGAAATCTGTTTTTGATGGTTTGGTGTAATCTTGCTTAGAAACAAACAAACATTCAAACCAAACAAAAGACAAACATACGAGTGAAAACATATTGACAGCTTCAACACAGACTGATGGATTTATGCAGGACTATGAGGTTAATTGTCCATCATTACGAACAGTTGCATGTGATATACACACATTGTTACTGTGTGTGTGTTGCAGGAGAGTCTGGTATGGGTAAATCCACCCTGGTCAACAGCCTGTTCCTCACAGACCTCTACAAAGACAGGAAGTTACTAAACGCTGAGGGTGAGTCTTCCTGCTCTTTATTATCTCACCATGTCCGTCACAGTGAATTAAATCACTCTGATGTCTGATATTTTTTTTATCTCTGTATACCTGTGCCACACTGTTATCTTTTAACTGTAAAAAACAAATGTGGGTGACGTATCCCTGATAAACATCTAAAGAACTAAAGCTTGTTTCAGACCAGTTATTTATTGCATCAGTTCACAGAATGAAAACGTAGCTTGTAAAGATTGAATCTTTGCGAATCCTTCATGAATGTAGGTGTAAGTTTGTTTTATTCATATCCTGGTATTTATACAAAAGGTGTATGTGTGTTTCATGTGTTTCGTGATATTCATGCAGTTTAAAATGGAAGTGAAATAACTTTACTTTAGTCAAATATTTCGGATATTTCTGACACTTCCCAGTATCAGGTCAGATGTGTAAACTTTGTTTGATATTAGCTGAACATAATAACTGATGTGTTGTGCAACCACTTTTATTTCACTTTGGGTGAACATGTAATAACAAGTTTGAACCCATGAACAGTTGGTGCAACGGCCTCTAGAGTTGCTAATGTGTATTAATCCATCATTAAAAATAGTCCCCATCAAATGCACTAATTAGTGCTGTTAAAGTAATTTTACTAAAACCTGTTTTCATGCGATTTGTTTATAAAAATCAAACGCTATCAAGAGCTTCATCCTTTTAAACAGCTTTTTAATAAGTTGAATAATGATAATCAATCGTGCCACTATTGCTTAATGAATAGAAACACAGTCAGAATCAGTCCGTTCATTTTCATCCTTGATGTGTATCGGCTCATTCCCTTCCTGTCACTCACCAACTCTGCGACTCCTTCTCCGTGCCAACGCTTTTCAGAGCGAATCAACCAAACAGTTGAGATCATCAAGCACACGGTCGACATCGAGGAGAAAGGAGTCAAGCTCAAGCTGACCATCGTAGACACGCCAGGGTTTGGAGACGCCGTCAACAACAACGAGTGGTGAGCTGGAGGATCTACTGTGTCTGACTCAGCCCGAACTCACAGTGAGGAGCTGCTCACATCATCTGTTTCTGTGTGTGTGTGTGTGTGTGTGTGTGTGTGTGTGTGTGTGTGTGTGTGTGTGTGTGTGTGTGTCCTAGCTGGAAGCCAATCACAGACTACATTGATCAGCAGTTTGAGCAGTACTTCAGGGATGAGAGTGGACTGAACAGAAAGAACATCCAGGACAACAGAGTCCACTGCTGCCTCTACTTTATCCCTCCATTTGGGCACGGGTAATAACACACACACACACACACACACACACACACACACACACACACACACACACACACACACACACACACACACACACACACACACACACACACACACACACACACACACACACAGAGGCACCTTTTCTACCTCATGAAGTCAACAATTAAAACAGTATTGAACTTCTCTCCACAGGCTGCGTCCGGTCGATGTTGAGTTCATGAAGGCGCTGCATGAAAAAGTCAACATCATTCCACTCATTGCAAAAGCTGACTGCCTCACACCCAACGAGATAAAGAAGCTCAAAGACAGAGTGAGTCCCGGACCTGCAGCTCCGCAGAGAATTCAAGATGTTTGCAGTGTGTTTTGTATTCACTGTTTAACACTGTGTCTGTGTGTCTGTGTAGATACGAGAGGAAATAGACAAGTTTGGGATCAAAGTGTACCAGTTCCCTGAATGTGACTCAGACGAGGATGAAGAGTTTAAACAACTTGACAAAGAGCTGAAGGTGAGTCTGACACCTCTGTTAGGAATTTCACTGACTCACTGTGAATTGTAATATCTGCTAGTTTTGCGATAGATTGTGACACCTACAGAGTTCAGTTTTTATTCCTCACGTTGTGAAAACCTGAACAGAAACGTGTTTGTCCTGAAACAATGACCTCGTTTCACAGGATAATCCACCGGCTTCACTGTGAGCCACTTTCACAGGGAATTAACTTTTGAATGCAGCTGTAATATGAAAGCTGTTCAGTGAGGTCTGTGGATTATCCACACTAAACGCTTCAGTCTGTTTCACCTGTTTCTGAACTTTTGCAGAAGTTCAGGAGTTTACATGTGTTCTGAATGGCATCAATAAAAGATGGTCTCCACCTGATGACAAACCACTCATTACCTTATTGAGCAGTTTGTGTCTTTTCTATGCGTCTGTTGTTGTGTTGTGATAAATTGTTCAAACATGTAGAACAGTGCAAACATCATAAAAGTCTCTACTGTGAAGAAGAAGTATAAACCTTCGACAAATGCTGCTTGATTTGGGTTTGATCGTTGAATCATCTGTTTTGGAACGTTACTAAAAACTTGAATCTCAAAACCTGGATTAATAAAACTAGATTTGTCCACAAGGCGAGATACAATAAGAGCAAGTGTCTTTTTGTTATTTGGGTGAACATTGAAATTGAAGCGTAGCTGCAGCTCAGAGGTAATGAATGCAGGCCGAGGCTCGTGATATGAAACCTCTGATCGTCTGGGAAGATCAGTGAACTTCTTACGTGTCTCAACAGTTACAGTCACGTTCTTCTTGAGCTGCTCAGCGTTTCTCTTGTGAATGTGTTGAACTGTGAAATGTATCAGGGCTCAGTTTGCTCAGTCAGCTTTCTCTGGGTAGATAACAGTTAACGCCGCCCTCATGTGTGTGTTGCAGGAGTGCACCCCGTTCGCTGTGATCGGCAGCAACACAGTGGTGGAGGCTCGGGGGCAGAGGGTCAGAGGAAGACTGTACCCCTGGGGCATCGTAGAAGGTATGATTGTGTTCATGGTTCCTCTCTCGTCAGCCTGAACATGAGTCCGACACAGTCTGTGTGAAAATGAATCTTTGTCTTTGGCTTTTTTTTTTCAGTGGAGAACCAGTCGCACTGTGACTTTGTGAAACTGAGGAACATGCTGATCCGTTCGCACATGCACGACCTGAAAGACGTGACCTGTGACGTCCACTATGAAAACTACAGAGCACAGTGCATACAGGAGATGACCAGGTACGAGTGAGAGAAAACTGATGGTGTTTTGTAAACATAAACTTCCGATGTCACCACAGATGTCAGTGCAGATTTGTCTTGTTCACGCCTCCTCTGTTTCCTCCTCTTCTCTCAGTAAACTGGCTCAGGACAACCGCATGGAGAGTCCCATACCCATCCTGCCTCTGTCCACTCCAGATGTGGAAACTGAGAAACTCATCAAAATGAAAGACGAGGAGGTACGAAGCATCATTCGCTGCTTTAAGAGACGACGAATGACTATTGTTTTTATATCTGATGCGACTGACAAAACCCTGAATGTAACACGCTTTAAATCTTTGCTTTAACCTCTGCACCATTATATATCTCCTATTTAAACTTTACACAACCTTGATAAGTTTCACCTTAAAGCTCCTCTGTCAGTGTTTCCCTGATAATTGTCATGAGGTGCATTGAGCGGAGAAACACCAGATGGTCACAAATGCAAAGGCAGCAAGCAGAAAACTTCACACTCATTAGAAACAATTACACTAAAGAAAAGAAAGTGTGTAACCTCAGAGCTGTGCACAAGTGGCTCAGAAAAATTCCATCATCATGTGGAATCTTTGCCACTCGATATTTCGTTGGTGTTGTTCAGGGATTTCCTCAAGAATATAGAATTATACACCATCAGGAAAGAGTAGGCAGCTTTGTTATTCGGATTCGTGCCAAAATTTAATGGGATCTTTCTTGGCCCATGTCCACGAGGTTTCATGGAAATGTGTTCAGTAGTTTTTGCATAATCCTATAAATAAACAGTCAGGGGTGACAAAATAACCTCCTTGATGGAGTAAATAATAATAATATGTGTTAAAGAGCTCAAAAAGTTTTTTCTTCTTCTTAAATATGACATGAAGCATGAAATATCTTCTCACGTACAAAGAGCTGCCTCATCACTCACATACATAAACCAACATCAGAGGAAATCCCATATTCTTCTAAATGTTTAATCTGAATTTTATATGATTTTAACCGTCCACACCTTCCTCTCCGCCTGCAGCTGAAGAGGATGCAGGAGATGCTGAACAAGATGCAGCAGCAGATGCACGAGAAAGACCAGTGACATCTCCCAGAGCAGAGCTGTGCTGTAGCGCCACCTGCTGTTTGTCCCCCCCCCTGAACAACGGGACATCAAGTGTCAGTGACCACTCTGGTTGTACATTTATCTTCAGTTTGGTGCTTTGTATAGTTTGTCTGCCCGGAGACTCGTTTCATCAGATTCTCATCTGTTTTCTTGCATCTGTTTGAGCCCCCCCCCCCCCACCAGCCCTCCACCTTCTGTGGTTAAACAGTCTTAACATATATGATATTAATGTGTAATTTAAATTACTAGTCAGTGTATCTAATTTATAAATGCAATGCTAGACCTTTTTGAATATTCTGTCAGGGTATGAACATGTGATATAAGATGTTTTGTAAAGAAATTTAGGTTGTTGGTCTTGAACCTGGATATTGTTTTTTATTATGTGTTTGTGTGAGCGAGTGTGTGTATTTCATGAAATATCCTTATATCACCAGGTTTCCATCCGTAAATCTCCCGTCCGTTTGACAGTGGTACCACAGTGACTTTACTTTTTATTCAGATGCTTTTGTTTATCTCCTCTCTGATCCTCATTAATATCTTCACGTAACATTTTTTTATTTTACATATGGCAAGTCAAAAAAAATCCTCCACTAGCATTTTGTGCTGGTGGAGCTGAAAATGCACTTATTGCCAGTGGCTAACTGTGAATGGAGAGCCTTTGACGTAATGAGAGGGTTGGTACATGTGCGAGCATGCTGCCATTACTCGTATCCGCTGAACGCTGTGGACCTATTTTTACTGCTTTATAGCCAATGCCCTGTGCTTGTATTAAAATGCATCATGACAGTTTGCTACTGTGCTACGATGAGATGTTGAAAATAACGACGAGCAAATGCTGTGTTTATGCTTCTGTTTTAAAATTTCTGCCCTCGTCAGTGAAGGTGTGTGTCCTATGATTGCTTGAGTGTGTGTGTGTGTGTGTGTGTGTGTGTGTGT